AAAAGGAAAAAGCGTTAGTGCCTTGCCCGTTCCTGAAAAGGAGAGGTCACTGCTTAAAGGGAGACAGATGCGACTTTATGCATAAGAAAGTCCTACCTGTAACAAGTGGATCGAAGTTTCAACAAAAGCGTGATAATATACCACAATCAGGCAGTAACCAATTCCCTTTTCCCTTCGACCTAAGTTATTTTTCCCCATTTCGACTCCCAATGTTTTATCCCCCCCTACAGCCGTTTCCGTATCTGCATACACCCCCACCTCCGACCCTACCAAGCCCCCCACCTCCTATGTCATTATGGACAAGACCCCCCGTTTACTAAATGAAGAGACATCCTACAATCCTAATTTGAAGATACCGGTTAGAATAACATCACGCTTTAGTAAAACAAACTATGATCAAAATACCCCCACACGAATTTATAATCCCAACAAGATTAGGAATACACATGCAAATTTAATTGCTATTAAGCCCACCAGAAATGGTCCTCCTACGCAAAAGATCATACCTAAATGCATGGTTATAAATGCACGTTCTCTTGCCAAACCTCAGGCAGTTTCTGCGTTGGATGTTGAGCTCTCTACATGGGAAATTGACATCTGCTTCGTGTGCGAGACATGGTTGAACAGTAAGATATTATCAAATTTAGTATGTCCCAATAACTATCTTATTGTAAGAAAAGATCGCCGCGATGGTCGAAATGGAGGAGGTGTTGCTATAATTTGTCGGGAAGATTGGAAATGTAAATCTCTAAACTTTCAAAATAATTTGGAATGCATCTGGTGTGAAATTGAGACAGCAAATAGCAAATACTATGTCGCCTCTGTGTATCACCCTCCGGACCCCACATATCAGGAAAGTGAATTACTAAATCATTTATCAGAGAGTATAGAGCAAATTCTTCAGTGGGAATCAAATGCCAGAATTATAATTGGAGGAGATGTTAATCAACTGAAGGTTAAGGATATTATAAGTCAACATAATATGGAACAAATGGTGAAAAAACCTACAAGAGGTCAGAAAATACTTGACATTTTCCTAACTAATTGTCCACACTTATGGAATCACCCTAGAGTCTTTGATGGCTTAGTAAAATCTGACCATTTGGCTGTCGTGATAACTCCACGGGTAGCTGTAAAACCGGAAAGAAAAACAGTTTATTTTAGAGATGCAAGAGACCATCGAAAGTTTGCTATGGTGAGAGAGTTGGAAGCACAAGACTGGAGCTGTATTGATGACTGTGAAGACGTGAACGAATCAGTTATGTTATTAAATCATATTATCACTTCTGCATTCAACAACAGTTTTCCATTGATTAAGATAAAATTATCCACACGGGATCCCCCATACATGTCTCCTCTGGTAAAACATTTATGTAAAATACGCAATAAAAGTGTGAGGAAAGGAGTTAACGAAGATCTACAAAGAAAGATAAATAAGCTTATCCGAGAAAATATGGTTAGTGAAGTTAAGAAGGAGAATGGAAAATATGCATCTGGATCGAAGAAATGGTGGGACACAGTTAATAAAATCACCGGTAGGAAGGCAAATCACACCAGTATAAATATTGATCCAAGTGTTATAAATAGTTATTTCCAGACAATAAACACTGATGATAATTATACATATCCTGAACTCGTTCCTATACCCAATGAGACTAGAGTACCAAATGTTGATATACCCACTGTAGAAAGGTTTTTGGAAAAACAAAAGAAAACATCAACAAGTCCTGATGGCCTACCCTATTGGGTATGGAAAGACTTTGCAAAATATCTAGCCCCAGTGATAACAAAGATATTTAACATGTCATTGGAACAGCAACGCGTTCCCCTCCTATGGAAATTAGCCAATCTTAATCCAATACCTAAGGAAAGCCCCCTTATAGAATGTACACAATTAAGGCCTATATCTCTTACGAACGTAATAATGAGATTGTTCGAAAGAATAGTGTTTAAAAAAGAGATCTCATCAGAACTAAAACAATTAATAAAATCTGACCAATTCGCATATAAGGAAGGTACCAGCGCAACTGATGCTCTTATTATGTGTCACCATAAATGGCTAAATTGGCTGGATGGTGATGTTAATCATGTCAGGGTGATTTCATTCGATCTCAAGAAAGCCTTTGATTCCGTTTCTCACAACATCATTTGCAAGAAGCTAGGAAAAACCAACATTAATCCATATGTAATAAATTGGATTAGAAATTTTTTGACTGATAGGAGACAAAGAGTAATAGTAAACGGAATAGAAACAAATTATGTAGACATAAACAAAGGAGTACCGCAAGGCACAGTTCTTGGACCATTTCTATTTTCCTTAATGATAAATGATCTAACAGTCAAAGATCCAAATAACAACATACTAGTCAAATTTGCAGATGATATGACTGTTAGCGCTCCAGTGAAAAATAATTATGACTCCGCACTAGCTGAGGTAGACAATAGTGAAAAATGGACGGAAACAAACAGAATGTCATTAAATCTAGATAAAACATGGGAAATGGTTGTAAGTGGCAAATCAACAAATCCTTTACCAGAACCAATAACGGGGATCGAACGCAAGACTTGGCTGAAACTATTGGGAACCACACTGCAGAATGATCCAAATTGTTGGGACCTTCAAGTTAATAATTTGATATCTAAAGCTAGTAGGCGAATGCACATCTTGAGAATATGCAGATCGTATGGCTACTCTAAAAAAATTTAACAATTCTCTTCGACGCACTTATTATGTCTTTATTTTCTTATGGAATCGAAGTATGGGGTTCTGCACTTGAAAAGAAGTACCTGGAACGGATTGATAAATTTCTTAGGCGAGCATACAGATATGGATACACAACAAAAAGTGTTCAGATAATTGATGTGATTAAAGAAAAAGACATGAGTTTATTTGAAAAAATATGTAGCAACCCAGACCACCCTTTATACGAACTACTTCCTCCTAAAAGACAAAGACCGTTAAGAGAACGCGAACACGATTTCATATTACCTAAGGTTAAAACAGAAAGATTCAAACGGTCGTTTTTAAATAGGTGTCTTTTTAATAATTTTAGCTAAAATAATTAACTTAGATACATAATAATAACTTAGTCTTAGTCTTTTTAAGAATTCTACCTAAGAATAATTAACTTAGATACATAATAATAATTAAGTTTATTTATTTATTTTTTTTGGAACCTTGTATATGAGAATTTTAAATGTAAAGTCACACGTCTGTTGTGGCTATGTTTAATAAAGACTTAATAATAATAATAATAATAATAATAATCCGTTTACGGAATCCGCGTTTTATCCTCAAATGCGGAATCCGCATCCGGAATCCGCTTACAGAATCCGCATTCAGGTTCCGCGTTTTATCCCAACCCCACTAGGGATATGTGTATCCCCGACAATATGGCGGTCGTGTTCTGCGTATCCCTAAACAACCACCCTACATTCCCACATCACTAGGGATACAAGTATCCCTAACATTTCGCAGGAAATAAAACATGCAGAACTGCACATGCAAGCTTGAAAATAACACTCTAAATAGTGTGTTGGATTGTGTTTCGAACAAGACTAATACTAATTAAAAAGATGTGTTGAAAGGGGCCGAAGTTATATTCGGCGAAAGGTATGGCTTAGTGATAAGTGATGTATTGTTTACATTCTTCGAGTTTATTGTATATTTATACAGTATTTATTGTGTATTATTACACATTTATTGTGTATTTATACAGTAGTATGGTATGGTTAATTTACATTGTTCAAGTATGCCTAGTTTATAATTTATGGCTATTGTACATTGTTCGATTTTATAGAACTTTTCAAGTGGATTTTTTTTGTGGTACTTTCGTATTTCTACTGCAACTACTCGCGGAGTTCTGAAGATGGTGATGATGAAGATGGTGATGATGGTGATGATGGTAGTGGTGATGATGAAGATGGTGATGATGGTGGTGGTGATGGTGAAGATGGTGATGATGGTGGTGGTGATGATGAAGATGGTGAGTATACGACGCGAACATGCTATCTTACAACATAAGCACAATCACATTATACACATTTACTGCAGCATTTAATAACTGTAAAAACGTAAATACTTAATATCGGAAAATAAAGGCACAGATAAATGACATTCCTCCTGCTCATAGTTTGAATATTGCATCCTTTCGCTCCTAATATTGTAGGTATCACCACCGGGGGTACTTTTATCCCTAGGAATATTAGTGTGGGGATACACAAAACACGGGGACACTCATATCACTGTGACACCTGCTAAAGGAGCTCCCTTATTGGCCAAGTATTACGTAATACAAGCGCTTGCGAGTAAAACCCGATACTTTAAAAATTCAAAATAAATATTTCTAGTCGGCGTATACATACGAAACTTTCTACATGAAAGCGCTTGAATACAAAGAGTATTTTACACATATAGCCTTTCAGAAAATGACGACAAGTTTAGAATATATTCAACTTTTTCTCTTTTGAATGTTTGGCGAAGCGGTGAGTATAATATATGATTGTTTCGGTTTGTGTAATGTTTTGACGGCACTTGACCCCCCGTTCGAAAGGTTATTTTGTGAGTATTACAATGGTGGTTTTTGTTTTAAAGGGGGGGGGGGGGTTAATACTCGCCAAGATATTTATTTTAGAAAAATTGAATCGTAATGTAATGCCGGAAACCACTTGTCGAAAAAGAGCCTTTGCGTGCGACGCCAGCCTCGTACTCAGGCGCAAATAACTAAAAATAGGCACACTACAGTGTTTTTATATAGATCGGTGGCTAAACCAGCGGGCTAAGCTCAGCGAGCGCGCGGGGGTGCTTGGGAAGGACGCGGGAAACGAAGCGCCTGGCAGAATTTGTAACAAACATGGCGGACATGAGGATGCAAATGAGGAAATTGCTGTACTTATAGTCAATGAAATTGAAAGGCCTGCCGATCGAGCGGTACATTTGGGAAGGATTTTATGCCCAAATGATCACTGCGTTGATAATAATTATTTTTCCTCAAAAACGATGATTATTATTTATCATATTAGCTGGTGAGTTTCCTCAGGATCTCTCGAAATTTAGGGACCGGTCATTAATTACAGGGGAGGGAGGGCTGGTGGAAATGAAAAATTAGATGATAAAATTAATTTGGCCCCCCCTTGAGGATAACACAGTTATACAAATGTATTTCTCGCCTTAAAGCAAAACTTGAATATCTCCTCAAGAGATCGACCGACGCTTCATGATCTTTCCCAGTGTTCCCAAAATGTTACAAAGGGAGTAACGCGAAATTGTACTGATTTTAAGTAATTTATTGTTGCCAAAATATAGTTGCCGCGTTGGTTGACTGCATGCATCAATTAACATAATAAGGCGTACGTACGTCTCTGTTCTTACTAAACAGTACGCACGTCTCTGTTCGTACTAAATTGTTCGTAGGCCTACGAGGAGACATAAGGATCTCAACAACAACATAATATACACCCATTGTACACATCATACGTATAGCTATGCTCGCACACTATGTGAAGCTAAGTGCAAACTCTTGGGCGTACACTAAGTGCGAACTCTTGGGCGTACATAGACTTGCTCCAAGTTTCCCTTTCATTGTATATAGTACCGATCCACTATAGTGTACATTACATGACGTAGTACAGAGGGGTGGAGCGAGAAAGAGAGACTTGTCAATTAACTTCGGAAAATCTCGGTTCAAAACTGAACCGAAAATGCAAGACTTGCTTTATTTGTTTTCTGTCAGTGTTTATATGTATTGATCTAGCACAGTGTAAGTAACATGATTTCCATAAAAGCAAATGATACAGAAAGAAATTAAAGGAAAACAATTAAAGCAAGTCTTGCATTTTCGGTTCAGTTTTGAACCGAGATTTTCCAAAGTTGAGAAGTCTCTCTTTCTCGCTCCGACTCTCGGTGCTACGTCATGTAATGTACACTATAGTGGATCGATACTATATGACAATGAAAGAGAGATTGGAGCAAGTCTAGGGCGTACACTATGTACGAACTCTTGGACGCCCTGTTGATTTCATACATACATCCATTCGTTTGAATTACTTCCGTCGGTGGACGGTGGGGGGGAGCCTTATAATTAGGGCATATAATTAGGTTCCTTTTTGTTTTTCGAGAGAGTATAAAATTACTGAACATATTCGAGGACGGCGGTGATTCGAAAATATATTGTATTTTATTGTACTATCAGAACGAAACGAGTACAGCAAAAACTATTATAAAAATCACCTGTTATAAAGATTCGCGCTTCAATGCAAGTTATTTTCGACAGTACAACTCTGTCAACAGGTAGACTACAACGTTCTCGCAACTATATTATGAATATGAAACTGCCAATCGAAAGTTAATGTGCACTTCCTGGCAGTGCAAACATGTAAACACGATGTCATAAAATAGGAAATATTAACTGTTTCTCACGCACCCTAACGCTTTAAACCTCCAAAACCATGCATATACGCAGTATGAGGAGTCAGGAGTATCGGTAAGTTGAAATTCTGAGCAATTTCAGAACTCTGTCACCGCCAAGTCCCAAGAGATAACATATCACTTATGATCAAATTTCTCATGAAAGCGATACACCATTTTTGTATCAACGCCCATGTTTGTATATTTTAAACTTCAATGTAAAATAAAAGATGTATCTCAAACATCAAACCTCGCATCAAATTTAAGCAAAACTTTCAGTTATACATAGGTCATAGCCATGCATAGGTGACGTTTTTCAATTTTGACAGCAAACTAATTGCTTTGATAAACTAAAACGTTTAAAATGGTTAAAAGGTTAGTATATTCGACCCTCGACGCTCGACAGTCGACAATTACCCAAACTCATTCGGGGACGGTGATACATCACACAAAGTGTATTCCCCAAGAAAATTATTTATAAATGATTCAAAAAAATTGTTTTTTTTATTATTCCAAAAATAACATGAATAAAAATCAAAAGCCCAATTTCTGAAACTCTATGCTAAGTATACGATAGCAGAATTAACTTCGCAATTATTTCGTTTGGTCGCGAGAAGCTGTTAAAGTTAACTGTATATAATCAAAACTTAAAACAAAAGTTGGTTAATTTAACATATTATAATACCGCATGTATGTAATGTAATTATTGTCACTCGTCTGGGTTATCGGAATTCCTGTATATACCATTTTATACCTGTATAATCCCATGCCATATATACTGCAGTACTCCTTACCCGTTTACTGAAATAAAAAATATAGAAATTATAAAAATATATCTTACTGCACTTCTGCACTGCGAAAACCACGACGTTCAACAGCTGCAGTGAACAATTTTTTCAATTAGATTTAATAATGCTATATAGCCTATATTTTTCACTTTTTCTCCACTGGTGCACAATGCCAACTGAAAAATGACACGATATGTCCATGCTTTTAAGCAGTGCGTGCCAAATTCAGTGCAATTATTTGCTGCGTCATAGCTTAATGTTCCAAAACACAGAAACCTTTTGGTTTTTACAAAAGTGATGCTTTTTTTACAAGAACAAAAAGAAAATAATTACAATTAAATATTTAAAAATCCTATCTGTTCATCTAATCTTATCAGATTAATTATCTCAGGTACTCGTATATGTCATCATGGCAACCAATACGTATGTTCGGGGGGGGGGGTTATTGGTGAATAATAGCGAGCTTAAGCAAGCGACGTTCTTGACAACACGAACGTTGACCGGAAGCAAATTTGACGTTATCAACCAACCAACATTCTTGATCCAGTCTGTTAACGTTACTCATGCCGTTCGTGTTGTCAAAAACGTCACTTGCTTAAGCTCGCTAATTATCATGTCACTATAGCGTCAGTGAAGGAGACATGGTCCCCAATAATCCTATTTAAATTAATCGGAAATCCTAACAGTCAACGGTCAGATTTCAATCATAAAATTCATTCACAAAAATACTACATGCACTTGTAGCCATTAATTGAATGAATCGAATCATCTTAGCAACATCATAAAGAGTTTTTTTAATGATATTGACTAGGTTGACTAGGGTAACGACCTCCCCCCCCCCCCACTCTCCCTTAGGATTACCTTCGAGAGATCCTCAATTAAATCTGCGGAGAAATGTCGGGTTGGGGGGTGGGGTAAATATAACGTCCAACTTATACGGAAAATGTGTCACAACTTCAATAAAGCTACATAAGCATGCACATTTTAATATTTTTTAATATAGTAATTTTTACGGACAATAGTTTATTCAACTATAGCGAATTTGATTGCATTTCCGGACCCCCCTAGCAGGCTCACGTCTTCGGCGTTCGCAGCACCCACTCAACAATTACTTGATGACGTGATACATTTACGACGCCGGCCCTCACTTCTACAATATCGCACTAAGCTACGTGCTATAAAATATAATCGAAGGTGTATACTTTTTCCCAAGGTCAGATAATTAGGAACAATACTAGATTCTAAGATTAGTTATAGCTACATCATATTATAATCGATTTATAAAACTGGGATCCAGACATGCGCAGAGTGTAATGTGGGCTTGAGTTATCGCTAATAGACACCTATTAACAACTCCGCAGAGTGCTCAACAACACTGAAGTGAAGGAGCGATAATAGTACAATCTGCAGACATGCATGTTTCGGCGTTCTACGCCTGCATGGTCATACATATATAGAAAGAAAATCTTTTGGATCAATGAACATAAAATTAAATTTAAAACATCTTATTTTAAATCGAACTATTAGCTTAAATTAAAGACATGCTTGCTTATACACCCAGTTGTTTCGCAACATTGTTGGATGTAACAATTGACAAAGAAGATCTTTGTGCTAAATATCAACCAGATTAATTTAATGGAGAAACACTTTTTGCATCTTTATATCGTTCCCGAAACGGGCGTGGAAAGTGAATTAAAGGTCTATCGGTCAGAGACACAAGGGCCAGATTTTTGTTGAGAAGCATTAAACTGATTTTTATCTAGGAATCTTGCGACGCACCTGCTGTTAGGCTGTCAGATGCATGTGAAAGAAATGACTTGGATAGGAACT